TGTGGAGAAGTGTGTCCTCACAAACTGTAAGAACGCTGATGTACTGTAATGGGATTATGTTTCTATTTCCCTTTTGGCTAAAAAATTTTTAATATAAAGAAAAATTAAGTTATGAGGAAAGTAAAGGTTTATTTCTACCTCATAGTGTCATTGGGGATATGAATTGAAGCTTAAGTTAGCATAACTTATAAAATCTAGATCCTAGGGCTGGAGAGATAGCTCAGTGGTAAACTGTATTGGCTGCTCTTGGAAAGGACCATGAGTCCATTCCAAGCACCCATGTGGCAGCTCACAAACATCTAAAACTCAAGTTCCCAGGAATTGGATGCCTTCTTCTGGTCTCCGTGGGCTCCTGTATGTATGTGTCACACAGACATACACCCAGGTTCACACACAGATAAAATAAGATAAATAATTTTAAAATATATCAAATAAAGCCTAGATCATCTGAATAATGAGACCGTTCAGGTTGAATGAGGCCAAATGAGCATGGTTCTCTTTTGAAGAACATGGCTTTCACAATCTGAACTCAGGCACATTCTGAACCACCCTTCTGACTCAGATGGACTGTATGCTTCACTCAGTCAGAATCACAGGGCAGATAAACATATCTAAGCCAGCTTGAAACAAACAAATTAATTAATTAATTAAAATGCCCATTGTTTTTCTCTCTGTCTCTTCTTTCTGGGTCCCATATGCTTGGGCCCTTTTTGTTTGGCATTTCCTTGAGTAAATTCATGTTATTATGTATCTGCTTTAACTTGTCTATGATGATTCATATTTAAAAAAATAAAAAATTACAACCCATTGTAACAGGAATAACTGTAAGATTGCCCTTAACTTCCAACACATCACATTGTATTAGAGAAGCCTGTGTGGTTTTCAAGCATAACTTCAGTTATCACACTGCTCTCTAAACAGTAATTCAATTTCACTAGAGAGACAAATTACATGCATAAAAGAATCCAAATCATTAAGGGTAAAATTGAAATCTATCTTTTAACAAAATTCATGTGCATATATTTTTAACACACAGCACATTTAGCACAAGGCATTATGAAAGGAAAACATAAAACATCTACATATAGAGTAACAAAATGTAAAAACAAATGTTCCCCCATGGAATTTTATTATATCTCTTGGTATAGGCTGATGAAAATGTTGCCTAAGAGAACTGATAGATGCTTTCTTCTAGGGCTGGAGCGATGGCTAGTAGATAAGAATGCTAGTTCCTCTTTCAGAGGACCAGAGTTAAGTTCCCAGTACCCATGTTGGATGGTTTACCTGCAACCGCAGTTCCAGGGACCTAATGCACATTTCTGGTCTCTGAAGGCACCTGTACTTGGGTGAGTGTATACACAGACAAAGTAAATCTTAAACAAAAATACTTTCTCCACACAGTGGTTGCATGTCTCACAGGAGACAATGATTATAAATGAGGGAGTTTGGAGATTTCTTTTCCTGCTGTTCAACATTTGTCGTCCCGAAGTAGATGTAGGTTCTTCTGCTTGGGCCAGTGTGTGTGACAATGCCATGTGTCCTAGCACTGTAAGTGTGCTCATCCTGTCTGGTTCTTGAGAACAGGAGAGGTCTGAGTTATTGGAAGGGTGTGTCCCAGGCTCACTTGCAGACACTTGAAAAGAAGCTGTGGGAAGAGGGAACCACAAGTAAAGGCAGAACACCAGCCTCTCCTGCCAGGACTCAGGAGGAATGCGTCTCACCAGCAAAGCAAAGCCAAAAACATGCTGGGAAATAGCGTGCTTCTCAGATTCCTATTTCCTAATGGCTTCTTTGAGTAAAGGGTAAAAAGAATGCCATTCCGTGCATGTTGCCAAAATATTACCCCATATATTCTCCTATTAGTAAATTTCTATACCAAGTGCTAAAGAGCTAAAGGGACTGGAGTTATGGCTCTGCCATTAAGAGGAGTTACTGGTCCTCAATCTCAAGTTCTTTAGCAGTTTGTCATTGCTGCAATCCGAACTGCATTATGGATTTTTCCAGATGGCCCTCATCTGGAAAGTTGTGCCCCCAAAACATCATCCTGGACCCAGTAGGCAATGATGATGCTGACAACTTGCCAGCAACCTGTTCTCTAGAATATTCCCCACTACACAGAAAAGGTGCTGTGGAGTGTTTTGATTTTCTTGCTGACCTGAAACTCAATGTTTCAGGTTGCAATATTATCTATCACATTCAACCCTTTAGTCTCTATACACAGCAAAGACAGGAAATAATTTAGCATCACTTTATTACATTTCTTATCAAGAAGTATTATTTTACACACTCAATTCATGTTTATTTTTATCTGACAAATTTCTAAAGCAATTTAATTTGTCAAATTAAAGTTGTTTAAAACACTGAAAAATAAACTTCAATTGCTCTATAGACAGTTAACTGCTTTCCTATAAATGTAAGAAAAAAAATGGTCTGTACATTTACATAAAAACCCAGGGGCAGGGGCGGGGGTGATGAACGCAACGGGTTTAAAAAAAAAAAAAAAGCGAGCTGTTTTTCTTATGCACTAAAATACCACAATTTTCACCTTATACATGTGAGAAAAGAATAACATTATATGGCACTGCGAAAAAAATATGACAATTTCAAAAGTCTACCGAGAAAATGACTCGGTAAAATGAAAACATGAAAAACGTGAAATCAAATCAGAATCTTAGACACCCACGTGACTGAAGACCTTAGCAATGCTAGAGAAGAGGTAAGGGTTATCTGGAGGACGCTGTCTGTTCAGCACAGCAGTTTTGGCCCACCCAAAGAGTCATCACGCGTAGCTCAGGCTGGCCTCAAGCTTCTCACATAGCTAAGGGGAACCGTGAGCTTCCTTGATCCCGCTGCTGCACCTCCCAAGTGCTGGAAGCATGCTTGCTTGTTTTATGCAGTGGTTGGAATCAAATCCTGGACTTTGTGCATGTCCGGCAAGCGTGCAGCATGCAGCTGACTGAGCTACACCCCTTCACAACCTACTTTCCTGATTTCCTATTCCAAATAAGAAGAGGTCTTAAAAATGTCTTGCCTGTGGTTTAAGAGCGAGAAGAAAATGCAAGGTGAGACCTAGAAAAATCCAAAGAGTGTAGAATGCCACCTTCTCTGTTGTTCACAGGCCTGCTGGCTTCACTTCCTGGCCTTCCCATCCGGTCTGCTCATTAGTCTCTGAACACCAAAATGCTCCATGGCTTGTTCTCCCTAAATGACAGTTTGCTCTCTTTCTTCCATGGATCCTAAATTCCTGTTTCTTCTGTCATGATAATTTCCCCTAACAAAGCAAACTGATAAAAACTTAACTCACAGGGAAGGATTGATTGAGTTTCTGGAAGACTTGCCACCTAGGTGGATCTGCCGAGTTCTTTCCAGCAGCTTTGACCGACAGGAAAAGGAATTGAGGAAGGCTGGGCTTCCATGCTGGCTCCAGACCCTCTCCCCTGC